GGCAAAGGGAAGTGTACATGGTACAGTAAAGGTGTAGTGTAGGCGCAGGCCAGGCCGCCACTTTCCGCAGGGCTCACTACTAAACGTTCAGTTCTGTTCTGTTGGTTCGACTGCAGTGCGCGTGTTGGGTGCTGGCGACCTGGAATACAGTATCCGGGAGCATCTGCACTGTTTTGCCCAGCGCAGTGGGGCACATTGGATGGGATGCGGGGAGAGCTCAAGGTACATGGATCAGTACAATCGCGCTACATACCTCTACCTTCTTCCTCTTCCAAACCTTCCACTGCATCGATGCGAAATACAAACACAACCAGGAATTCGTTCAACCGCCTCCGCGAGCTGCTGTTCACAGTACGGATGCCGGGCGTCGTCAGAAGTCTTAAATAAACAGCTTCACGAAAGTCTCGTCCAGCTGGTGACGCTCAACCCCAGATATTAACACGGATCCCGGTGTATTGAAAACATAGATCGACCAACAGCCTACAAGCACAAAGGCTAGACGCTTGACCACGGAGATTGACCTGCCTCTGTAGTCATTGAACTAAACGTCGGTACAATATACCAAATGGCAACCAACAACTGATAAGGACATGAGGCTAGGCTAGTACTCGTTCACATTTGTGATCCAGAAGGGGCCCTCTCAGCGTACATGGATGTTTGCGCACGGCTACGATCAAGGTCCAACCACATAGACTTACTGTTCTTGATGAAGTAACCAGGGCACAGCTTCAATTCTGAGCAGGCAGCCACTTAGTCATCACTTGGGCAGATACTCCTTGCTTGCAACGCAAATCCATGAGTGCTCACAACCAAACACAACTAAGCTTTCGTTATCACTACGTTTGGAGAGAAAAGTAACTGAACCTACCTCTAGGTCACAGATGTGAGAATGGACAAGGAGAGTGTTTCTATAATTCACAGTACAAAGCGTAGGCGCACTAGACTGTGGGCGGCTAATTGTTCAATCAACGACGGCTGTCTCCACTCTTCCCGACGTTCACGGCTCGGCGGGCAGACCATCCACAAAACGCCATCAAGGCCGAAGTGGGTCCGGCGATCAGAGTGGCAGGACAGCAAATTCGGGCAGGGGACGCCGGCTCAACCGGCCATGCAGTTGGGACTTGCGATGTGCCGGATTTTATTCATTACACCACTTGGTGTACCTACCTATTTCCCAAAACCATCCAATTATCATGGAAAGTCGCTGACTTCAATTTCCCTCAAGGTACCTAACTTCTCCTTTATGCATGTTACTGAGTATGTATGATGATACGTTCAACGGCTATCTCCAATTTGGTGGTTTTGTTCTTGAGGTTTCTCGACTGAAAGCATAACGCGTCATCAGATCGCTCCTCTGCCCCTTCCCCCCGAATACATGTCCAAACGTTTGCTGACCTGACTGGCTGATTCCCGGACAGCAGATCGGGGACCGCTTTCCTGCGGGGACACGATGCCGATGGTCACCCGTAATCGAGCTCTGAGCGACCAAGGACTCATGTTGGCCCACGATTCACTATCTCTCATTGGTTCTCAGCAATAATTGTTAAGGTCACCGACTTCACCATTTCTGGCTTGCAGAATTGTGCATTGGTATCACAATCCTGGTTCCACAACGCCGTCACCCCCGCCTGGATTCCAGCTTCCGGGGAGTCCATGCCGCACTCACTCTCAGCTCTAATTCAGCTTCACTGACCTCGATGGCCTGCTACGTACTGTACACCAGGTACGGACCCGGTTGGGCAGCATCCCCACGATCAAGAACCGGGATCACGGGATTCCTTCTTCGTCAAAAGCATAAGGTACATTCATTTAGATGTACAGTTCAGCAGGCCCCCCATCAGTGTCCGTTAAAGTTTACCTAGTTTATTGGATGTACGAGGTACATACTTGCGCGGAATGCCGAGTATGCTCAACGTTGTGCATATCAACCACCTCGGAAGTCGGTCGGTGGCGGCGCAGCGCAGTCATACTGTCTCCTTTTGAGTTCACAACCCCGTAACATTGGATTCAAACACCCTTATCGGAAGGGCCTGGGCGGTTTAGCTCCGAGACGGTGCCCTTATGCAACTGAGTGGCATATTCCGTCCTTCCTCTTTTCAAATCTTCACATGGCAAAAAGTAAGGCATTTGAGACATTGCTGTTAATTTTCTCCAAATCCCACATTGAAACCTGCCCTCACTCCAGTGTATCATCGAGTTACGCAGCGACACACAGAGCACTGCCTCCGTTACATCACAGTCCCTTCAGCAGAGATGCAGCAGGTACACCACACGGTCATCTCCCAGGCCTGTACTGTGTACAAAACCCAGCCCCTGTAGCCTTGTAGGGCAAGCAACCCCGAAGCTGGATGGACACATGCTTCAGCAACAAATGTGCGCCAGGCACAATACAAGGCTGATATGTTTGTTAGTTTGGTATCTCGATCATGGGTGAACAGGGAAATTTCGGAGCCCTTGTTGGCCCTTCAAGAGAGAAACTGTCCTCCTTTTAAGGCGATATGAGATAATGGCAAGGGTTTGTAACGCTGCATAAGCCTCTGATGGGTGTCCTCTGATATTTCTCTGTCGCTTTCAAGGCCCTCAAGACTGGAAGATAGGCCTTTGAGACTATAAATCACCAGAAAGAAAGCCAAGATATATTCTATAACCGGTAAAGCTTTAGATTTCTTGTTCACAGGAAACCAGGACAGAATTGTAATTCAGGGCCCCTTCATCTGACGTTTGTCATAGCTACCCCAGCGTATGGTCACCTTGCCTCGCCTGTTTATCCAGATAGAGATACTCGTTGAAAATGGGCAAGAATAGCCTCAAACTTCAGTTTTGCCTTGAAGTTGACAAATTCCGGTTATCGTTGTGCTACATCATGCTGGCCGCATGACGGGTACCATACATCGCCTCCAGTCTGCATTGCATGCAGTTCACTTTATGACACTCATAAAAAGGAGGTACGTTCGCCGATGAACCGCTAGCCCGTGGCCGTCAAGGTTCTCTTCCCGACAGCTCCGTGCTGGGTAGGCAGGTACAACCAGCGCAATGGAAAACCCTGGCTGCGCTCAATTCAGTGTTCTCTTCCCATTGAGATATTCTCCTCCATTAGGACATGTCTCAAATGGGCAACAAGTTGAAAATAAAAAAGAACGCCACATGGGAACCCTCCACCCCTTCCAGATACATTCGTTTTAATACAAACATTGTTCAGTTTTCTGGGATCTTCTTACAGATTTTCATGACAGCCGGGACCGAGTTGATCATCTCCCGAGTGCCATGGAGCTAAGCGTGTTATCGAGTATTTTCCGGCACTAGAGGTCGACTACCAATCTCAGGTTCAAAAATGAGAGCACCTTGAATAAAAAAAAATAAATTAAAAAAAATAAAAAAAAAACCAGGAAAGAAACCACGGAACGCTAACCATTCCATGAAATACACTATTACCAAATAACTCCAAACACTCGATGACTGGAGACTGAAAGCCAAGGGTTCTCCCCCGGCATGGTATCCGGGCCTATAGGAGCCGGCCAGATAAAAGAGCAAAATACTACGCTGTCGATGTTGAAGTGACCTTGACCTGCTTTTCTTCATCGACCACGACCATAAATCCCCCCCAAAAAAGGAGAAGAAAAAAAGAAACGAGAACCTCGTGCCACAGTAGCATGTGTTTTCCCAAGGCAGCCAGATTTCCGGCCTCTTTCTTCCACTCACTAACCTCCGTGCCTCTTTTACTTAAGCGATGGGTTGCGAGCCCGGGGGTCCCTCAAAGCGAGAGTGGAGTGCGACTTGAGCCCTGCTAAACCGACGTTGCATTGTGGTGACCAGGTATATGGACTATTCAGACACTACTGCATAATGAAAATCATCATCAGACCACGAAGAGTGAATGCGGAAATCAACTGGAGTCTGGCGGAGTTCATTCGGGTATGTCCATCACCTCACAGAGCTTTTCGACAAAATGATGTTTGCGAAAACCGTCCCAACACGAACGAACGCATGTCTTTGAAGAGCAGTACAGAAGAGACTCGTCGTGTTGAGGAAAGCACATCTATTGCAGCTCTGTCATTATGGGAATTCATTCCATGGAGATATACCTTGCTTGTCCTGGACTGAGAAACCAGTCAGTCGTTGACGAAAAGCCAGGTTCAAAGGCGTTGGAGATACTCTTCCGAGAAACATCACCGCGGGAACTCTAGAGCCGACACCCCCCTAGATAGAACGTGCTTCACTGATGTCTTCGACGGGTCGCAACCCGACGGTTCAGTGTCCACCATGTACTGGGATAGGTGTGAAATGTGAAGAACCTTGCAGATTGAAGCTTTCACAGTGCACAATGCGTGTTCGTAGACTACCTAGGTTTGTCGAGAACCCCATCAACTCGCTCCCCACCAAACGTAAGCTTTTCAAGTGCTGTACTACAGTAGAGGTAACCTCCTGCCTGCAAGGTTCCGGAGAACAATGGCAGGTCAAGTCATGCGATTTCTTCATCGTTGCATGCTTATATCTGAACGGACAAGCTGGATTCGTACAGTGTCTGTCACCAAAAACAATGACCCGTTCAGCCGTTCTTCATTTCACACCTGAAACCACCAAACCACCAAACCACCCTACTTCAATCCGCAGATATTTCAACCGGCGGAGAAGATCTAAACAGGTGTGAAAAGATTGGATGCTTTTTGATACGAAAAAGTTATAAAGGAATTGTTTTTTTTTTTTACTCCAAGTATAAGTGCAATATGAATTCAATCGCAAACTCCAACCACAATCCAAACTCAATTTACATTCTACTACAGTGTCCATGTCTTGTTAGCTCGCAATAAGCGAGTTCTCTTTTTTCTTATCAATGCGACGCCAAGTTTGCATCTCTGTTTCACAACTATACACTGTTGATACTAAACGAAACCTACGTATATATGTCTCACTACCTTGTTCATATGAGATTTAGAAGTAGGGTTTTGTTCTAATACCTTGTAGTGGTTCACATCCTCGAGTGATGAAGTCGAGTTTTGCCCTTTTTTTTTTTTTTTTTGTTTTTTTTTGCGAGGAAGAAAAAAACAGCGGGGCGCTTTCTTTTGTGGCAGGAACATACTGCACTTCCAATTACGAAAAGCGGAGAGCGGTGGAAGCGACGCTTGTTTGGTGGATTGACACTCGCAAACCAAACAGTCAAGCTGGCATTTACATTCTAATATTGGAGTCACAGTCGGTCTCTCATGGACTCTGTGAGCTCTGGGTTGAGTTGGCTTGTGCTCACGACCAAAAAGAAAACCCACAATGCCGAGATCAACATGCCGAGAGGCACGCAAGCATACCGAGGATAAAGTGTTGGCGGCCCGTAGGTGGGAACGCGGTTTTCTGTTAACAGTTTGAGGTTTCAGGAGACACCGAGGCCGTAGTGACAGAGGTTTCATATTAAAGGGCGCCACTGGTAGCTTGATGGACTGGTAGAATAAACACCTAGAAGTAAACTGTTTCAGGCCTGGTCCCTCACAACCGAAGAATTCGTTTGATGCCAGACATTTACACATTGATGAGAAAAGGACTGGAGGCTCTAATTCTGCAACCAACGTATACCAATAATGGGGGCAGCTAATCACGGTATAGCAGCACAGAAGGGTTTTTCAACCAACGCAAAAATGATTGACCACCACCATTTCCCTTACCTACACGATGCTTCGCCATGCAGATCCCAGGTCCTTTCTTGCCGCAGAACCTGCTGTGATTAGAGACACAAGTCCGCTCTTCAGCATGGAGAGGGCACAGCAAGTACTAGTGTATGCCACTCGGTCCTATCCTTCGCGCCCGGGAGAGGGGGGGGGGGGGGGGGGGGGGGGGGGATCATCACTACCCCCTAGCTTAGGTGTCTACGCTACCTCAACTTGCGAGAAATATTCCGGCCGATTCTCAGGTACCAGAAAAGCCAGAAGTATGAACGTTGTCTTCACGATAACTTCAAAGACAGGGCTTTTAGTGTCTCGTCGCAACCGTCAGGTACCTATAGGGAAACCGAACCAGCCACGGCACCTATATCCACAACAGATCATCTGGAGGACGTTACCCATCAGCTTCCGTCGGGGTTTCCGTGCTGACCTTTTGACTAGCCCAACCCCCACTCCGCCTCCCACGCCGTAGCTCACCTTGAGGAGGTGGATAGAGCCGAGAGGATGAACAGAACACGTAATAGTGGTTACCCCTTTTCACCAGGTACATACAATACAAACATACCACCTTTACATACATATATACCTGTACCTCTACAGGTACGATATACCGTAGACATCTCTATACCCCTATCTATCTACTACTCCACCTATCTCCCTCTAAAGGTATCCTCCCTCGTCCGTGCCACCCGACGATCTTGACCTTACCCGAAATGTCAACTATTGGCTGGTGGGAAACCCACTACCTCGCCGCACACATGCCTACCTATCCGGAGACGGACATGGCACCGAAGGTAGGGCTAGTGAATTTGCTACCTTGTTCTTACGTGAATGAACATCTCGCAGTTCTGCAAGTGTGGTATGGTGTAGTATTGTGTTACAGTGTGGTATGAGGTTACTTTCATGTCATATTGGAGGAGGAGGAGGAGGAGGAGGGGACCGGTACCGCGAGTGTTGGGCGCCATCACCGCCCTTGCATTCTGTTGGCAACTGCCCAGGTACCTTGTATGGGGTAAGATATACCTAGGCAAGATGGGTGGATGGATGGGTGGGTGAGTAAACAGGGTGTTGGGTGGCGTTCCGGTGGCTTTTCTGAGTGATTAATGATCGAGTAAGGGTAGGGTGACGGGGACCTAGATATTGTGATGGCTTGTGAAAAGATGTAGCGTTGTACACTTGTATTACAGGCTGCCTTTGGTTTGTTCTTCCAAGAGAAGAAAGGGCAGCCTGAGTGTAGCCCTCATGGGACAGGCTCGACAGGGACTACCACGGGACGATGGCGGTAAGGGAGGAGTGAGATGACCAGACCTACAATGTACTAGGATATAATGGCTTTGCGCTCTGGTGTGCTGTGATCAAAGGAATTGTGAGTGTCTCTGCCAACTCCAACAATGCAGGTAGGTACAACACCACGTCCAGGATAAAGTAAAGGAGACTGCAGTCGGTCCAGACCACCAAGACCATGACATCCCGTAAACGCCAAGACGGGTTTCATTCGTCTTTATACTCATTCATAGCCCCCAGCAGGTGTTTGCAGCTTTACAAACTTGTAGGTGACTTGCCAAATTGCCATTGACATCGTGCTCTGATGTCCACGTTTTCTTGTCCTGGACGAGATTACCTACCCATTGGATACCTATCGGATTGGCAGGGCAAAAATGGTAACGACAAAGTATTCAAGGGAGTCGGTTACCTCGCACTTGAAGAAACGAGGCCTTACGAGCCAATCTCAGGTTATACTGCTAAAGGTCCGAATGAAGGGTGGGGGTTTGAAGATTGTTGCCTACATCCTGGACAGAGTTGGAGCTATCCCTAGGGAGTGGTGCTGTTCTGGGGTTCCCTGCGGCTCTTCCGGGTGTCGAATTTACAGCACGAAACAATCGTGCCTCATGCTAGGTTTCTTATATTCTCGGCAGATTGAGATACTGGGAAGCCATGTTAGAAAGATTGTTCAGTCGACAGCAGAGTGAAGAGAAAGACAGACGGGAATAGGGACTAAGGAATGTGGAAACTGGTGTCTTTCTCAGCCAGAGATAGACCTGACGGCGAATCAACAGTGAATGCCCCGATAAAGGAAACACACAAATGGTACACTTGAGAACATTCCGATACTGGCATATAGGATTGCGATGAGGGCACAGCTCCCCGAAGGGCTAGCTTGGTCGGGTAGCCATGCCTTTTACCGATGCCCAACTGGAGATGAAGCTCGACGTTGACAGTTGTATCGTGAACAATAATCTGACGATTGTTTGAGGTCAACAGTTTGTTACTTGGACAAGCGACTGGGTGGCAGAAACGTGTGGGAGCGGCGGCCGCATGCGCAGCTTCCAATGAGGTTCTGGAAAGCATCATGAAAGATTTGTATTGGGAGAAAGGAGTGATGATTGATTTATCGATTGGTCGGTGTTCCCCTTCCCTTCTGTGAGGAGCTACCAACTGGGCGGCAAGCGCTTAGGCACCAAATTAGCGCGTAGCGGCAGAGTAATGGTGGCCCAGTGAGCCACCCGGGCACTACACTAGAGGTAGGTAGGTACTGTCCGGTTGCCAAGGGCTGTGCCGCCGCTGCCGCGCCCGGGCCCTGTAAGGCAAGCCACAGGCGCGTCTGTTACTGTGGAGAGACGCAGGGCGGGCAGCTCCATCCATTCCTTCGACAAGTCACCTATCAACTACAACACAACAACTGCGACGACGAGAATCTTCTGGCTTCAGGCTTTCAATCTCCCGCATCAGGCACCAGCCGTCAACATCCCGGACGTCAATACTAACTGCCAGTGGATACTTGCTTCGTGGCTTGGGGGTGGGCTGACCCAAATGTGACGACCATCAGCACGATAACTTCACTTCAACTTTTGAGCACCTTGGTCAACTCCGATTTGGGCCCTGCAGACGGTCTTGGAAGCAAGCGCCAGACAGGGCGTGCATATGCACCGCAAACCAACAGCTAGGACATTCTAGACTGGACGAGTCACCAGTCATCCCGCGCAAAGCCGCATCGCCTCTCCTCCGCCATATAGGCTTCAGGATACAGACAGACACTCCGTCCAACGATGCCAGCCGCAGTCGGCTCACGCTGGCAGGACCGCCGCCGACGTGTTTTTCAGTCTGTCTACCAAACAGATCTATCACCACCCCCACCACAAGCAGTACCGCTTCCGTCAGCAAATCTCAGCTTCAGCCAAGGACTCCAATATCTCTCTGGCACAGGACCAACAGTGACTTCCGGCTCATTCTATGACGAGGATACACAGGAAGCCACACAGCCCGCTTTCTACAACCAACCCGACCAAGGTCTCTTGGTTTCACACACCCCCTCCAACTCATTTCACAGCACCGTTACCGCCGTCTCACAGCCTTCACAAGTTCTTCTCGGTGCTCCAGACACAGGGAGTGGTGATCAGGTCGCATATGACAGTGCCTGGCGTCTTGTAACCGCTCGAATTACTCTCCCGTCATCCGTCACATCGCCAACATCGTCAGGTAATTTGTCATCACCGGATGCAGCTTTGCCCTCTGATGCCGAGTTCTGTGACGCTTTGGCCCACATCGTTCACGCCTCGACGCTACTGCCCGGGGCCCTACGGACAGACGACATTTTCTCCTGGCACACCCACCAGGTACGAGCTCACTTTTCGCAGCACGTGATACCCCTATTATCGGGCTGCTTGGATACGGGAGGAACTGGAGATGGCGACCCAAGGAAAGTGAGTGATCAAGAGCGGTACAAGAGCAGCCAATATGAGCGCCATATGGTTATTGTCATGAGCAGCATCCGCACACTTGAGGCTGCCCTAAGACTCTACTCTCACGGATTTGACCTCCTTGTAAAGGGCATTACTCAAGCTGAGAGTGCTGCTGCCTTCGGAACGCCAGCTGTAAATGTTGAGATTCTGGCAAATCGTTTCCGGAGAGACATACATGCCCTCGTAGGAAACTCGGCCTCTCAGCAGTTAACGAAATCTTTACGAGCTGTCCTCGTCCGCCTCGTAGGCAACATCCTTGGCATTCCATCCGAGGACGGCGATGATGATGATGCGCGTAACTTCAAGTCTCGGCGGCCAGCTCCCCCTACCGATGATGACTTCGAAGCATTAGCAGCGAGACAACGCCTCCACGAGCTTGTTGAACAGCTACATAACGTCGGTCTTGCCGGTGAGCGCTTCCAGGTCTTGTTCGCCGAAGTAATGAACTGGATGATGTCGGCTTTTGTGTGCGGAGCATATGCTGGGGTATGGTCGGCGACAGACAGACGCAGCTTGTCAAGCGTTTTGAATACAGTGTCTAAGGGTACCGGTTCATCTGTCACTTCGCCTTGTATTATCTCCCTCATGGACTGGGTTGAAAACCACTTTGCCCGGTTGAGCTTCGAGGTCCTGTCCCGGATCTCTCACGGCTCTGTGTCGCCGGTCACGCTCTCTGATCTCAAGACATACCAGTCGCTTGCTCTTGGTCGTTTGTCCACGCTTCGCATTGCTGAGCTCTTTGATATTGTTCTGGCGTGGCCGGATTCACGAGGAGCGCTTGATGACTTGCGCGCAACTATCACTACCTCCGCCAGGAGGCTTCAACTGACATCACACTTTACCCAGGCTCTAAAAACACGTTTGTTGCACCCTGGGTGCAGTACACTCGAGATCCTTCAGACTTACATCGACATTATTCACACCTTTCACGCTCTCGATCACAGCAAGGTTCTTCTAGGACACGTCGAACCGTCCCTGAAACTTTATCTGTGGCAGCGTGAAGATGCAGTACGCATCGTGGTGACAGGTCTGCTGGCCAGCCCGGAGGAAGTCCGTGCCGAAAGAAAGGTCAAGGAAATTAGCAAGCAACAGGCGGAGCAGAAGAAAGCTGGGAAGAGGTCAGAAGCCAGTGCACGACGCGGTGCCGGTAAAGGGCCAGTCGTGACACCTACCACGACAGGAAGATCGAGCAGAACAACCCCGACTACAACAAGGCAAAGATATGACCTACACGAATCCAGCATGAGAACTCCCGGCGCAGCCCCGATTAAGAGAAAGTCTACCGGTACTGGCAAGCTCGTAGAACTTGCTCTCCTCCTGAATGATCCGACCAAAACCCGCCATACCCTCGTCGAAGATGAAGAGCTCGACTGGAACGATATGAATTGGGTTCCAGACCCGGTCGATGCTGGTGCCAATTACAAGCGGCCCAAGAGTGAAGATGTTATCGGCACGCTCATTTCGGCGCTAGGCAGCGAAGATGTCTTTATCAAGGAGTTTGCCTCCATCGTCGCCGAGCGCTTGCTAAGCCTCAGCGATCCAGCTCGCTTCGACCAAGAGCTAAGGGTCCTCGACCTCCTGAAGCGGCGATTCGGGGAGGCGGCCCTCCAGAATTGCGATGTCATGATCAAGGACATTGAAGACTCGCGACGCCTAGACGTTGACATCCGTCGAGCCTGGGACGAGCAGCGGACACTGACGGCAGCGACGCCGATGATGATGTCAGGCCACTTCCTGCGGTCAGCAGACAAGCGGAAGAAGGCCGCGCTCCAGCGACAGCAACAACAGGAGCCGACGCAATACCACGCTCGTATCCTTTCCCGCCTCTTCTGGCCCGCCCTCGACCGCGAACACTTCCTCCTCCCCGACCCCATCATCGAAGAGCAGAAGCGCTACGAACAGGGCTACGAGCACCTCAAGTCCAACCGCAAGCTCACGTGGCTCAACCAACTCGGTACCGTCCGCGTCGAGTTGGAGCTGCGCGACCGCACGGTCACTGTCGATTGCACTACCCCGCAAGCAACCGTCATCTACGCATTTAACGACTCCGACTCCGATAACGGCCAAGGAATCGAAATCGACAACAAACCCCCCGCTCGCCGCACCGTCGACGAACTCTACACCACGCTCCAAATGGACGAAGACCTGATCACCTCTTGTCTCGAATACTGGGTCTCTAAAAACGTTCTCCGACGCCTTCGTTCCCCAGCAAACACTCAAGGTTCACACACGTACGTGGTAATCGAAAGCCTGAGCGACCCCATCGTCGACGACAACGACGACCAATTCTTCAAGGATGACGACATCTTCGGCAATCCAACCACTTCTGTAACTGCCCAAGAAGGAATGCAACCGGCAGAGGATCCCAAAGACGAAAGTAACAAGCCAGCCATAGACCCCAAGGAACAAGAGCGCCGCACCATATACTGGCAGTACATCAAGGGGATGCTGACGAACGCGAGCGCGTCGATGCCGCTGGCGCAGATGGCCATGATGATGAAGATGCTGATCGCGGATGGGTTCCCGTGGACGAACGAGGAGCTGGGGGAGTTTTTGGCGGAGAAGATTGCGGAGGGGGAGATGGAGCTTGTTAGTGGGGGGAAGTATCGGCTCGTTAAGAAGTGAATGAGTTAAAGGTGAGGGTGAGGAACAGGTATGATAGGTTGAAGGAAAACCAGATAGAAATGCTTGATTGAAGAAGGTGGCTGACATAAATGATTTTTATGGTAAATGGTTTTATGGTGAAGAGTGTAAGTGCTTTTACTTAAACCAAGTGTGCCTTGAAGTACCATGTTAGTAGGGTCATACAATGATGTTAATAACCCACAGGCAAAACTGGTTAAAGGATGACAAAGTATTCATATGAATCTTTCCGGGAGACCGCGTTTCTGTGCTTCTGGTTCACTTCAAAGTCTGCAGTTGCTTAAGTAGATGAACAATTAGTTGTTTGACTTTGCTAGACAAAAGTAGACGATATACTCGGGCTAGCTTGCTGACTGACTGGCTAATGGACTCCAAACCCCTGAAGTGATCCAAAAATATGACTCGATGAGGCCCAAAACTACAATAATCCAAAGCCACCAGGACTACTAAAATAGATTACTGACTATATCCTCGGCCTAGGACTCTTCTCTTCCACATCCTGACACAACTTCCACGCAAATCTCGCCATCGGATCTCGCGCATCAGCATACCTCTTCGCCTGCGCACTGCTCGCCTGCCTGCTCGCCACGCGCGCCGCAATGCCCTGGCAGATGGCAGACAGCCGGAAGATGTTGAAGGCCTGGGCCCACGCGAGCTCGCGCCGGCGCTCGAGCTCCTCAGCAGGTGACGCCTGTCGGTGCAGCGAAATTTCGAAGGTTGACCGCCCCACTGGGCTGGTCACGTTGAAGTAGAGCTCGGTGATCTCGTCGACGGGCGGGAGGCCGCGCGTGGCGCGCGGGAGGAATCCAGGGTGCACGTTGATGGATTGCCGAGGGTCGAGGCGGGCGGTATAAAAGGGTGTGAGAAGATTAGAGAGGTCGGAGAGGGGGTGGCCGATGGTGGACATTTCCCAGCTGATTTGGTAGAGTGTTAGTTTGGATATGGGTAAAGATAATGGGTCGTGATGAAATTGGGAGGGCGGCTCACTCTAGAATACCAATCACCCTCGGCTCCGTCTTGTGAAAGACGAGGTTGTCAATTTTGAAGTCGCCATGAATCAAGGTGGCCCTATCGGCCGGCTGCTGCCTCACGTCGGAAAAGTACTGCATCATTTCCTCAAAGAAGGGTAACTGGCCGACGGGTTCGCCCGTATCGACATCCTCGACCTTGGCCTGCGCGGTGCAGATAGTCTTCCAGGTGTCCACCTGACGGCTGTAGAAGCCATAAGGCTTGCCGAACTCTTCCAGACCGACGCTCCTGGGATCGATGCGGTGCAACTTGGCTAGGACGCGGACAGCATCGCTCCAAATGGCGCGGCGCTGGTCGGGAAGCACGTTGGGTATTATCGGATCCTCGAAAATACGGCCATCGAGGAAGGACATGATGTAAAAGGGGGTACCGATGACGGACTCATCCTCGCACAGGCAGTAGGTCCTGGGTACGGGCACGTCGGTGTCGGAGAGGGCAGTCAGGATACGGTATTCGCGCTCGACCTTGTGGGCGGTCTTGGACACCAGCTTTCCTGGGGGCTTCTTGCGGAGGACATATTTCCTGCCGTCGGCGGCAGTCAATTGGTACGTCGGGTTGGATTGACCAAAGCCGAACTGTAGTGACGAGAGGGGGAAGATGTATTAGAATGGTGGCCAGCGGCGCAGTCGATATGGGACGGACACCCACCTGCTTGATATCCAGCGGCGCCTCGATATCAGGCACCTTCTGGGCCAGCCATGACTCGAGGGCCCTGATGTCGACGGGATGACGAACCCGCCCCGCCATGATGGCTCAATGTTGACGTGGTTATCGTAAGGGGTTCTCAAAAATGGAGTTAATGTGAGCTAGGTAGCCAAGAGTAACATAAAGTGCTAACAATCATGGATCTCTGCTGTAAGCCGGGATTCGTTCGGGTGGTGTTGCGCAGGCGGGTTCACGGTGTATAAGTACTGGAACAGATTCCACTTGTTGTTGTTGTTGATAGCGACCGCGGCTGTAACAGTGGCGCTAAAGTCTCGGCAGGGCACCGTGACTGGGAATAGGAGCGGGGACTCTGGGGAAGTTGACTTTCGCCTGGTTGCTGGGCGGCTGCCGAATGATGCTCGCCCCGATGCGATAGACGCACAAATCAAGACCGCCTATTCGATGATGATGTGCCAATGAGAAATAACGTCAATCATACTCCCACCACCGAGTTGAAGCCAGAAGTTTCCAAAAATTGACATTCAAAACAAGCCCTCATAAAGCGTACCGACGCGAAGTCTTGGATGAGAAATCATCGACGCTAGAACAGGCGCGATACAACGATGGAGGTTGGATAGTGTGGGCGGGTCCGAATTCCGGGGAAGGATGTAAAAGGCTGGCGCTGGGTGGACACAGAGCCGAGGTTCCTCTTTTCAGCTCTCTCTCTGCCGGCCCCTTATAGCGGGAAATGCCGAAAGCTATGGGCGGCGGGATTGGCGGCATGGTCAGGGCCCGCCCCTCGTCCCAAGTCCGCTACAAGTCCGGTCGGCGCGGCTCAAGTTATCCACTACGAACGTGGCACTTGCCTCCGGCCCGACCCCATCAAAAGTTCACACAGCTCGGAGATCGTTCCTTCTCATCACCACTTAACTACCTAGTATATTGAACGGGCAACTGCGATCGATGGTATGGGATTACGGGGCGTGGCTACTGTAGGGGAAGGGCAACAAAATCGTGTTTTCCCCGCAGTTTACTTGCTCAGGTCTCTGGGGGGTTTTGACTACAATCTTGGACACAGGAGCCCACCATCTTCTTTCCAAACAGTGGAAGTTATCATTCACTCCCACAAGCCCGTATCTATATCTGCTTTTCCAGTCGTGGGAATATTCACACCATCCGTGATCGATGATGCAGTTACCAGACAGCCGCAAAGGCTCTCTCAACCCGTCTCTACCACAAGGCTTGATGACGATCCACCAGAGCCTAGTATAGTCCACTACTTACCTGGCCTGGCTTTAGTTCTTCCACCGCGATCGACTCAGACAAAACCCCCCGTCATCTGACCCAGCCGGGACACTCTATGTCGTCGGTCGAATCGTCTTCACGACTACAGTCCACGATCAGGTCTTCTCAAGGAGGAGTCAACACAAGGAACGTATGTTGAATTCCAGACTTTCTTCGACACTTACACCGTCCAGCCAAACGGCCAGGAGTGTGTCCACCGCAGAGTTGTTCAGTACAACTTCATTCTAGTATACTGGACAAGACCTATGCCGGTTTGTCACAAACCTTATAAGGAAAGATCAAACGGCTAGGTACGGTTCAGAAAGCAATCAACAATATTCAATATAACATCAAACTCGGAAATAGCATATTCAAGGTAAGATCACGCCTTGGTCACGGAACGAAACGAGTCAATGACACGTTGAAACGCCTAGAGAAGCTAACAGGAGGTCTCGAGCCAACAAACAAATCAGTATTGGACTGACAATATTGATGCCAAGTGGAACTACATAACCCACCACCGTGTTTGGGACTAACGGAAACAGACTACGTCCGAAGACTTTGGTCGTCCCACTGACCAAGTCAAGAATAGGATAGTGATACTAAGTATACCGAATCAGACCTGCTCCACCCTCACAATACGCATAAGCAACTTTGGAACCGAGGGTAAGTGGGAAGTTGTTTCGATTTATCATTTCAGTTGTTTTGATTTCATTGCGTTTGGGTCCTCCAACAAGTCTGGAATAGGATGGTCTCAAGCACCAGCGGTCTGGCTTCAATGACGGAACAACAACCGGTGACGTCTCCGTTTCTTTATGGCATTGACGAGCCTACATGGGATTCCATCATTTATGCAAATCTCTGCTTGGAGTTTTACCGTCAGTGAGTGCCAGAATAAGATCAAGCCCCGTCGCTCTACAAGATGCGTGTCTGCACTTACAGACAAACGTGATCACGTATGGGAACAACTTCCTACTTGACCGTATCCAACACCACCACTCTCCCAAAGACACAGCAGCTCTAACTTCCGTACCTTCCTTTCCAGGTCACACACTTACTCACAAACGGCCAGCCTCTTAGGGGACTCAAACATGACCCCATAGCTTTCATCCCAAGTCAAGCCGCGTCCCAAAGCGAACACAAACACGGGACCAGAGGCATCAAGCACCCAATCCCAGCAGTACGTACGTAGTACATAAGCCCAACCTTTCACCTCGCTTCTCGGAGACAGCTCGAGTCTGTGGGTTGCGTGGCGTAGCGGTTAAGGGAGTGGAGCCCCGTAACTGTCTATTGCGATTATATACCTCGAAGGCATACTCCCTCTGCCGGGGAAGCAGACTCGGGTTCGATCCCCTTTGTGGCCACATTGGACCTTTCTGTGTTTTTTTTTTTTTTTTTTTTTTTTTTTTTTTTTTTTTTTTGACAGCTTGATTGTTCCGAACAGTCAAGAAGGAATACATACTGTCAAGGATAGCCGTCAATGTATGTCTGGTCTATTCCTAAGTTCACTGCGCTGTGTTTTGCTTCCTCCCAAATCACCTATCTATCCCCTGTGCCTTTTTCATGCTAGCATGGATCTCTCTCTCCCTCGAACAAGTTGTCTCCGAGCCCCCGATCGCATCCTCTCATTCCATGTACCTTCTTCGCCTCTTTCCGCTCTGATGTTCATCGTGCTCATTCTTTGCACTGAGAAGGCTAAATGAACCGGCCCTCCTGCCACCTACGCTACGTCACGTTGTCTACCATTTCAATGATTTCTGAGTCCGCATCGCCGCTTCTCTTCACAAAGATAGGTAGAATCTGTCCGCTTCTTGGGCTCTGAATCGAGTTATGTGCGTTCCCACTCGATCAAGGACTATCAGCTACGTACCATTCCGCTCTATTGGCATACTTCCTTCGAACGAGGCAAATAAACAAAAGAGAACCGCATACCAGAACGCCTAATGCATATGGTGAAGATTGAAATCCAACCGCGCTTGCTCCCGTGACCTGAACTCCAAACGCTTTTTGATGACCATAAAAGGAAAGAAACTGATCAATGCGCAATGCAACAAAGATAAAAAGAAGTCCAAACAGACGTGACGTTAAAATGAAAGTGGGTAAGCCTGGAGTTAGAAAAGTAGCCCCCATCCGTTGAAAGGTAACCTACTCCTACGGCTATGAATCGCGACGCTTGCGCTTTCTTTCAAGCAATGTGCCTAGAGAACCAGGGCTATCAAGCGGAAGCGGTTGTTGAGAAGAGGAAGGCAGTTGAAAAGAAGGATTGAAGTCAATGAAGCGGGCATCACTGCTGTCAGGAAGGGTGTTGTTGCCCTTAAATTTCCATGTGGCCTGATGATCATGAGCTTCGGAGGGTTGCTCGTGTGCGAAAGGATGCCTACCACCTCCAGAAAACGAGTGCCTTAGACGTCCAGAGTTGATAGCCTCTATTCTCCAAGCCAAAACATCATGACCAGAGACGGTGCGCTGCCCTTGTGGCCAAATTCCAGCAAGATGTGCAGCAGCGAGAACCTCATTTATTGAGCGAGCAAGACGCATATCGTCCCCCTCTTGTGAAGTCTTGGTAACTTGTCTGGCAGCAGAGGGCTGCTCTTGTGGGGAAGGTTGAGCAGTATGTCTTGCTCCAGTGTTGGCCAACTGGTTCAAGGAAGCATGACACCCGTGCCCCTATTCAGGCCACTGTCTACCAGCACCAGGAAGGGGAAAAGTAGAAGAACCAGGGAAAGGGGTTTCACCGGGATACGTGGACGCAAGAGGCTGATCACGCTGTGCAAGAACGGGCGGCTGCCCTTGTGCGGGGCCCCTCGTGCCGGGGATCTGATTAGGGAAAGCAGGGTCGCGATTTGAGGGCTCAAAGGCAAAAGATGCTTCACCATGCTGCATCCATGGAGGTGCTGGTTCGGATGTGTATGATGGCGCCGGTGGCTGTTGGGGAGTGGAAGACATCTGGCTCGTGTCGGCACTTCTGTAGGCATTGTCACCATCAGAGGCAGGCTGGATCGCGAAGAAGGTTGTCAGTAGTCCGACTTCCAGCTTTTCACAGGAGAGCAGATACAGAATCTACCAGCGAGGAGGGGGGGAATGAGACTGACTCTTTCACGCGGTGAGCGTTGGCTGCTTTGTGCAGACGTTCCCGACGATGACTGTCGCTGGTGCAAGGTGCCGTGTCTGGGCCCTCGTCTCGTGTTGCCTGTATTTTCCGAAGGAGGCGATCGTCGATCCGCTGCTTGCCATGCCCTGGGGCCACTATATCTCTCATTGAATTGGGCCATTTGACGAAGTAACTCGTGCTGCCTGTAAACGTGTCAGAGCAAAAGGTTGAAAGACTGGAGGGCAAAGCTTACGTTCTACTCCCATGACGCCTGAAGTGCCCACTATCTAGAAACTCTCTGATGGACTGGGCATTAGCCTGAGTGTATACTTGCTGTGTAGGAAGCTCAGATCGACAGTATGGACAGCTATTGGAATCCTGAAACCACTTTTTGATGCAATGTTCGCCGAATATATGTTTGCATATGGGAAGTCGTAACGGTTGCTCTGAAATGCCCTCCGGGCTCTCAGTACCGTAATCGTTGTAGCAAATATCGCAGACTGCCAAGTTAGACTCGATGATCTCTGCGACACAAAGATAAGATGGCAACTTACTCCGATCGGTTTCAGGCAAGTCCGCAACATTAACAGGTTCAAGACTTTCTATCGCTTTTCGAGACGCCACCTTCTTTGTGCTTTGTCCGCGAGCCACCTGCCGTGCCCTGAGTAACTGGGCTGCTCTTTCCTCATCGACTAGTCGGCGCGTCGGTATCTCGTCTGGAAAATCCATATCATCGTCACTGAGGCTCTCTGAGCGATGAAGAGCTCGCACCAGGAAATCTCGCATCTCTGTTCGCGTTTCGGGATAGGCAGGCCCACGGGAGAACGAGGTCGAGTGTCCAACAAATGGGGGTCCCGTATTGGACACGGACACCGAAGTGGGAGCAGATGCAGAGGTGGTTGCGGAGCCAGTGCGGGACTGATTATCGGGAAGTGGTGCAGCTGTATTCGTCAACCCGGAGCCTGATCGTTGGCGAGACGGTCGGTGAGCGCTCGATGCCGAAGCCTGGGGGCCCGGGGGGTTTGGGGGGCCCTGGGGAAGCTGAAGGACATGGAACAAGTCGTTATCGCCTTCGGTTGGAATCGACATGCTCGACGGACGATATGGAGCGAGCCTTGAGCGAGGATCGGGGGCGGGAAGCCTGATGTGACTCCCTGTTGTCGTCGAGGTCGTAGTAGCTGGGAGTACAGGTTGACTAGATTGATGCGAAGGTTGGCGACGATGACCAGGCGGGGGCCCATTTGTGTGATGCTGATTGGAGTTGTTGACACTAGTTGCGTGGCTTGTGTGACGAGAACCCCAATGGCCTGGGTCTGGCAGTATCTGGCTGAGAGGATTGATGTTGCTGAAGGTGGGGTGATTATGCGAGCTTGTAAACCTGTCGAGGTAGCCTGCCTCTATGGACGAGAGACCGGGCGGCGGTGGTGGTGGTGGTGGTGGTGGTGGCCCTGGTGGGAATGCAGAACGGCTCGGTCCTTGTTGAGGCGTCCAGCCAGCCTGTATCGGTCCCGAGTCTAAGCCACCAACCCGCGGGGTGGCGGTTGCAGCAGTTGCAGCAGATGAGCCACCTTGAGTTTCTGTGTTGCCCATAAGTGTGTCTGCATGTGCACTGGAGACGGGGTTCGCAGTTGATTGCGCCCCCGGCCCTCTACCCGAATTTCCTGAGGAACCACCATTCATGCCGTACAGCTCTGCCATAGAGCCCGGCGGAGGAAAGTAGGGAACCGAAGGCTGTGCTTGGAAAGCTAGGGAAGGGAGAGGCCAAGATGCCGTCGTGGACTGTGCTGGGAACCACGTGTTAGTACCGGTACCGGACGTAACCGTGTTTCCGACACTAACACTCGAGGTACTGACGCCTGTGGTCGGGGCCGTGACGTTACCATTATTGGCATTACTGTTGTTGTTACTGTTGGTGCCGTTGCCTCCGTAGTGATGCGCATGGCCAGTAGATGGATGGCCGTCTTGCCGATTGCCACCCGGATTGTTCATGTTGTTGCCGGCGTTTCCACTATTACCATGGCCAGACTCTTGACTAGTTCTGTTTTGGTTGTTCATGGCGTGGTTGCTATTGCTGGCAGCGTGAACAGGATCGTACCCTCGATTCGCCGAGTGGGACGTAGGCGGAGAAGGGTCTGAGGGATGTCTGGGAAATGATGGCGGCGTGGGCCCATGGGATCCAGGAATCTGCTGTATCTGAATGGGAGGGAGAAAATAGTAGTTTTGCTGTTGTGGAAGCGGGAGAGAGTTGTCAGAATAACCCGCGTGAAGGAAGAATGAGTGGTGTAATGTTGACGCGGGCGGTAGGTGTGGCGGCGGGTGAGGCAGGGTCGACTGTTGATGGCGGTTGGATGTTGTTGTTGATGACTGCCCGTGGTTTGGTTGTGATCCTCCAGATCCTCCAGCTCCTTCTGTTGTCCCAACAAGACTTCCACCTTCAGAATCTCCCGTTTGCGTTCCACTTGCTGCGCCTTCCATCAGTCCACTTCTGTATGGGCAACGACCTTGCCCACGGATTTGCGGACCATTTACCCACCAGCCGGGAAGCGGGACAGGATGAACAGAAGCCTGCATCGTGTAATCCATTTCGTCCATAGTCGCACGCTGACTCAAAGAGCAGCTCGGAGAGATCGATCACAGCAAATGAGACTTGGAAAGGCTAGATCGAGCCCGACGGATTCTCAACGGACTGTTGCAGACGGCGTCAACCATAGACCTTGCTCTTCTCAAAAAGGCCCCTTTAAGGGTCTCCCGGTATCTGCTTCGAAACGGCCAGATGTGTTGGGCGGGATTAAGTATCAGATAAAGAGATCGAGGTCTTTGTTTCGTTTGTTGTTTGTCCTTCACAGTCCCAAGTGGCACAGGCAGAAAGTAGAAAGACTGTTGACTAGTGGAGTGAAAACAAGGCACATCTAGATAGAATTGGAGCCAAAGTGTATTTGCCCAAATCCCATGTGAGGGTGAAAACGTCGTATCGCAACGGGGTAGCAAGTCTTGCAACAATCAGCAGGTGTTCGCCCAGGACTAAATGTTGGTTCGGAAGCATGGGTATCCACGGGAGATTTATTGATCGGGCCTGCAGTATAAGCTCAACTTTGCCCACCGCAGCCAGGTACGTTACGAGTGAGTGGCGGACACTTGAGTTCTCGACGTGGTTGGAAAAAGCTCACAGATGTCGCGGTTCACCGAGATGAAGAGAGGCTTCTGCAAAGTCCGAAAATACGCGAAATTGCAGGCCAGCCTTCTTGACTTTCCACGATTGCTTTGCCGGCTCGACTAAGATGGCGCCTTCTAAACCCGTCTCTTATCACTACCAGTTGTCCTAGGCCCTCCGATGAAAGGGTTGTTCTTTACCGCCGTTGTGATGAGCCCTTTTCATCCAAGGTAGGCGGCCGGACCAAACAAGGATAACGCCGTGCGTTTGAGGGGAAGGCGGATTCGGCGGGTAGAGGTAGACTTGGGTGCCCTTGAAGCTGAGGCTGTTTGATTGTTGTCGGGTTCGAGTAGGCCGGAGCAGACGAGCAGTAGTAGGGGTAGGGCGGCGGGCATCAAGCCGCGGATCGATAGGAAAGGGAAGCAAAGAGAGATCGAAAGAAAACAAGCACCAGGCCGTTGAGTGATGTGGGAATGCTGTTGGTTTTGTATCAGCCATGGAAAAAGCCAGGGAGCGGCGGGACCGGGGCGGAGGTGGGCAGAGCAATGGGACGTCTTGTCCCAGCGTCACAAGAGCACCAAAAATCCCGTAAAATCATGTCATCAATTCGTTTTTGGAACATTGGCAGCATGAAGCGGAAGCGGACAGGAGTGGCAGCAGTTACATGGATGTAGGTAGGCTACTGGCTACCTATCTCCAACTGCCTCCACGAATCCGCGTCCACTCATTGAGCATAGAGGCAGCTGGAACTCTGGAAGCGACCTTTTTCGTTCCGAGCCTTGATAGCTGGGGACGGTGGGTTGATGCCAGGGTTGGTGATACAGTCCAAACAGTTGTTAACCATGCAAACCCAACCACCACTTACTCCACCATTCAACTTGAGCCTTGCAACGCCCACGTAGAGTCATGTAGCTCTTGCGAAATGGGAGGTCGTGATGAGAGGGACGTATCCAAAGGCAGAATATAACTGCAGTTGTTCTGGCAAGAGATCCCCCGAGCCGTTTGTTCTCCCAGAGTTTTGTTGTCTTTGTTACTGACTTCCAACCACCATTTCGACCTCGGCGTACATGCCTGACTTCTTTGTGAACGGGGATGTGCTGTTGGAACTTGGCGGCGGGGTCGGCTCAAACAGTGGACCGGACAGGGCAGTGCATCGGTCTGTGACGAGTACACGTCTTGGGAGTCAGGGAACGTCAAGCGTATCAATGATCAATGCCCAACCAAGGTCACTTGCGCTTCTTCTCATTTTCGACATTTCAATCATTCCACCGTTGCCTTGCCGTGTCTAGAGATTCTTGCAGATTAGTACCTAGGTATTCCGTGTTCTCAGTTTGCTACTAACTTGCTTTCGGATGAGGATCACTTGCCGTTCACTTCACTGCATGTCGTGGTACCACCTAATTGACGGCGCAAGTTCAAGCCACCGCGCTGGAAGCTCGTCTCACTGAGCTGCTGACTGAGAGTGGGGATGCGACATGAATGACTGTGTTTCCGGCGACCGAGCGCAAGCCATCGCCCACATCTTTCTTTGTCCTTTCGTTGTAATTTACCACGATGAGTGAGCACAAGTTGTAGCACCACCAACGGAACGCACTGCGCGCGCACCAGCAGGTGTAAAGGTGAATACCTTATGAGCTATTTCTGCCATTCTGTAACATGTGGTGGAAGAAGGCAGGCAGCTCCCGTCTGGCTCAACGAGACACTACAGTACCATACGGCAAACAGGGCACGCAGTGGTCCGGGTGTTCAACGGTGTTGAGTGGCCCTCAGCAGCGACGGGAGGCAGCGCATCGCAGCAACCCCCCGCCAGGTAGCGCTTTCGGACCCGACCAAACCGCTCCCCGATATAAATACTCCCCGCCTCTCGTTGTCCTCCTCTTTTCCGACTGCAAGTAAGTTCGGCAGCTTCGCCTCGTGTCTTTACGTTTGAGTCCCTGAACTACTTCATATTATGGGGCAAGTTCTGATCACTGACTAAGTACCGTACCTAGAGGTACCTTTGCAGCTTTTCCAACTCTTTATTTCGGCGCTGACCCACCTCGATTACCCGGTGACCCTGCTACGTGTCGGTATTTTTTGCAAAGCAGCACTCTGGACCGTCAACGCCTCTGCTCAACCATCACCATACCTGAAAAGCACACGAGCCTGCAATTGCTTAGCTTGGGCCCCCAGCGTTACTTGTTTGTGGTGGCACCACTTGTATATGGTTATGAAAATGTGTGCCGTAACGAACAAGCGAGATGCACATCAGGAAACGCAATTCAAAGCGCCCAGCCTGCCCAGTCTGTTGCTGCTCGCTCGCAGTCTCACACATCCACTAACTCTGGATCTGGAGCTTATGATCCGTCTCACAGCAGCAAAGAACAGCATACACTCAGAGGCAAACCAAGTCTTGGAACTTGTAGCGAGGGAGGAAGCGAGCAACTGTGTCATGTCATAACACCATGTGGCGTAAATTCGGGCAGCACCATGATAACAATACCTGCGTTGCGAGCAGTTTCACGGGAAAATCTGCGGTGGGGCGCCAACTCGACTCGTAAAGTTCGTCAAAGGTTGGTTGGTGTGTGGGATGAAGATCGTGGCCTGGGAGCTTCCTGTACACTACCAGAAATTCTCGCAATGCAATAACGATCTCAGCTCCGAGAACACGCTGCGTCGTTCAATCGCGAAGCAGTGACTGATCGTTAAAGCCATGCGACCTTCGGAAAAAGTGCCCGTTACTCATCGTCAGACCCCCTAGAGTTCACCACCTCATGGGCTAGCTGACCAGAGACAGATAGATCGTTGATCCCGGAAACAAGTCCACGCAAGTCCTGGCAGCAGACCTTTAGGCCGCACAGCCCCGCCGCGTTATCCATACTTACCTACCCTGTCGCTTAAGCACTTATCTATCCATTGGCTCAGCGTGAACAACTTCGCGAGTCCCCGAAAGCTGATTGATTTGTCCAACAGCACCGCAATCCTGGGGCTGATCGTCTTCACTAGCTTGCCGGATCACCAGCGATGATAATGAGATAACTATCGTTACTGTTAGCAATACCAAGAGAAGATGTCTGTATATCTCGGACATTGTGAGCTTGGTCAGCAGATAACGATATTTGCGCTTAACACATTACGATCAAGAAGAGTCTAGATTTTCCGCCTTCTCATTACACCAAGAGGAGTGACTAACTTGGGATAATCCGACGACCCTTCTACGATTGTTGTTCCTTATTGAAATAGAGTTAGCGGTATATGTATTCCAGGGCTTATACGATATTGAAGAAAAACTGGCTGGGACCTGAAGTTTTGCAATGAGAAGCGAATTCAGGCCATCAGGAAACCCAGATTGGGGAGGCCCTACGAGTTATAACCAATCAGATGTAAGACAAGGCTAACTGACCACCTCTCTCTCCCTTGTCCCAACATGGCCTCTTTGCATCTGGGCTTCTCGAATTTTTTATTTTTTTTTTCAGTTTCCCCTTGCTAATTCTCTCGCTTAGCTAATCGCATGAGATTTCTTGGGACACTCTTGTTATTTCTGTATCTGGCATGATATGGAAAAGCATTATTCCAGCCCCTCCGTGACCCAATGCTTCTCCATCTAGGCAACTGTCAGGTTGCCATGTTTCCAACATTGCTCGTGCCAGGTGGTCAGCACATGAAAAGGACACCATGCTTTGCCCCCATTTCTAGGTATGTACTTAAACACTCTTAACCGCACCTCACCCTTGTAGTGATAAGCGCAGAGCGAAATCGATGTTCACAAGTGAAACAAGGTAAAGCGAGAGGATGACGCTTTAATGATTAAGCAACAATGCAAACATTCAATTTTTTTCTTCCTTGGTCAGGCAAGAAGTGTCGAGCTAAGGGAAAAAGAATGCAAATCCAGTTTTGGCTCACAAGGGAAGGGTTTAATTTGGAAACAAGATATCTCTCTCCTACGTGAGCTGTCAGTTTCCAGATCAAGAGGACTTATCATCGTCCGTGGCCAAGCTCTACATCTCTGATACCAGTCCAAATCCTACCAAGACGTATTCAACCTGTCTCCTGTGTTGTACATAGCAATGCCCACAGAGTATTCAGTGTTCACCTGCATCATACTAGACATAGGTGCCCGACTGCTTTAACCTTGCCCGCCCGATCCGACCCAGCCGGCCGACTTACAACGGGCAAAAAGTGGGTCCCCATTTTCCGCATGTCGGGTGCGGGCACCGGCACCATCGGAGCGGATCCAGTTGGCGTTGTGATCAGGCATCCATCCATCCATCCCTTCCATCACAAGCAGAAGTGCAATCACAACTGCCTAACCTGGAAACTGACAACAGACGGAAAATGTGATATATGCGTTGCAGAACTGACTCTCACCGGCGCACGGTAGCTATCGATCCCATGCATCGATATCGTTGCTGTGCCAGAGCTATTCGCGGAAACCTGTAATAATTCTGGCTGAATGCCACCATCGAGACAGCGAGACGCTCAGAGGGTTGAAGACGCTAAGAACTACAAATAGTAACATGGATTGCAAACAGCATCTCTAGGCGGGATGCTGTGTTTCGTTTGTTGGTGTTGGCCGACCGCGACAAATGCTGTTGTTGGCTTCTTCACCCTTCGACCAAGTCCCAACTCCTCCCGATTCCGACCGACCCGTCCGGGCAGCCCGTCTCAATGTTTGTCCGCTGTTGCCGCTAGCATCCCTTGGTAATCTCCTCCCAGGCCGTCGGGGAAAGCTTCATCAAAGAAGATTCACAAGGAAGTTAAAAAAAAAAAATTGTGTTGTCTGCTTCAGTCAGACAGGTGATTTGCAGTGTGTCTGGCTGCCGCGCATCTGCTTGGAACTTGGCGCCGTGGTTCGTACTCAATTGCGCGCCCGATGGAAAATTGCAGTTTGAGCAAAAGCGAGAATGAGATGTTTGGTGGACATCGGAACTGCGGGCGGGTAGCAACAACAACAACACAGTGAGGGCAGTCGGTGCGCCGCGGCAGCGATATCGCGCGATAGCGACGCTGGACGCAGCAAAAAAAAAAAACTACTACCCTGCACCGCTTACCAACTTTGTGATAAAAGAAAAACAAACTGTCGCAACGTCCTCAACAATCATATTGAAAAATAAAACAGATGCCAAAAAAAGGTATGAATATCTTCCAAGTCGTAGCAGCATGTTCCCAGTCGGGAAACAAGGGCAAAAAAAGAGCACAAAGTTGACAAAAATATGATTCGAATTCTGGATGTCCAGATGGGTTCCAAAGATTAGGGTATTGGAGTATTTTGGGCCAACTCACGGTCACATCCGGTAAAAGGCAGGAGATGAGTTCGTATGAGCAGGCCCACTCCAATAGTGCAGCGTCTGACGACTGACCTATGTACCTCGTAGCCAGAAGATTTCAGCAGCCCAATGTTATCCACCACAACCACCACAACCACGAGGTTCCTTGTTCACCTTGTATGGCTCGTGCACCGCTTGGAGTTCCAATCGCAGTGAGGGTCCAAAATATGACAATTGGTGCTGAAGTTTTAAGATCTAGTATTGTTGGAGTGGTCAAAGAAATGTGGTACTGGGATAACTGACCTGAACATACAGTTTACGGATCTTTGGAAAGATACTTGTTTATTGTCTGATTCTCTAGGCTCTCCTTTATTATCGTACTGTTCTCGTACTTCAGCATGGTGAACTGTTTTTTTGCTGTTTAGCAAGATTCATCGAATCGAAACGGACACAATTTCACTGTATCCTGAATATGGTTTGCTGAACTTGGTCTTCTCATTGTCATCTATTCCCGTGTAGTACCATCTCTGCCAAATTTCATGTTTCTAGATCTTTTTTTGTCACGTATAATGCCTTAAGTCCATCAAAGCCTGATGTACCCTTGAACTCTTGATCGCGAGTAACGGCCCTGCCCGCCCATCAATCAATCCTCGATATCATCATCACTCAGCACCAAGCTCTGAATCCCACCCAGCTCCGCCGCCTCCTGCCCCTGTCCACTACCATGCACCCTACTGGCAGTAGCCCGGCTGAGGATCGCACCTAGCCCTCTCTTGTCCCGCCCAGGGCTCGTCGCTTCCTCCACAGGTTTATCCGTAGTCCAACTCTCAGTCACCCCTGCCTCCTCCGCTCCTACAGCTTCATCTTCGTCCAACTCCTCTGGTGCGGGAGGTCCAATGCCATGGAAGGACACGATCTTGTCTAGGTCCCGGATACGCATGGAACCGAACGAGCAGCGTCGACCGCGGGCAATGTGTGCCATGTAAGGGAGACGCTCGAGGACCATTTCTTGTCGAGCGGCGGAGCCGAGCGAGAGGAGAGGGAGCGCGGAACTACTTGACGGGGTGGTCGGCTCTTGTCTGACTGGCTGGGGTCTTTGTGTGCTAGCCCAATCTCTTACGCTGTTGACGTTCGGGTTTGCCGTCGAGGATGGCCTTTGGAACGCCGATGCACCGCTGGTCAAATTCGTAGTTGTGCCGCCGCTATGCGATAATGTCATGCCGTCCTCGCCCTTCAGCATCTTGGTAGCCCACATGTCCACAGAACCTTCCAATTCCTCCTTGGCCCTCCACAGCTTGAGATAAGCCGGGTAGAACATTTTGAATGCGTCTCCTCCCCCACGACCTGACGTTGGGTGCGTCTGCCGTTTAACAGGCGACGGCAAGGAGAACAATAGGCCGCGAACGGCGACCTGGAATGCCATTTCATCCTGCCGGAGTATATGGCTACCCGAGTCCTTACCGCCGTAATTTCCGCCGGCGAATGCTCCCTTTCCGCCAAAAAAGATGTCCCAGGAGGGACAGAGAAGGTCGGCTTCGGACAGGTAGTCGAGACATCCATTCATGTAATCTAAGGAAGAATTAGGATCGAGAGGACTACTTTCGCACGACAGGGCGTAATTTTCGTGTAAGGCCGCAATGAAGGTTTGGGTGTCAGTACCCAGTTCATCGATTAGCGTGTCAACAGCAACTTCGGATTTCTTCGGCCTGGACGTGTGTGACAGGTAGCCTGGTAATGTCTCCGCTTTTGCTTCTTCAGACCCCAAGGGGAACGGCTTTTCAGCCCTTTTGTTGTATACGACTTTTCCAACCGCGTGGAAGATACCCAGCGTTGCCTCTCGCTGAGATATTAGCTCAAGGCTTTCTTGCTCACCCTTGGTCAGCGCTGCATCCTTTGATCCTTTTTTCGTCTTCGTGAAAGCAACCTTGGATCCCCAGTCGGCGTCATCGTCGCCCTTAACACAAAGGAACTCTAGCGATGCAATTGCATTTCGGATGTCCCCAATCTCTCCAAGACGTTTGAGTACCAGTGGTCCAGGGGTCATTCGGCGGCCCGACCTTCGGGCTTCCTTCTTGACTACCAGCTCTAAAGCTTTAGCGAGGAGAGATGGCGCAATGGGGTTGAATTCGATGACACCTGTCCCAGGGTGTCGCAAAATCTCGGGACCTAGTAATCGATGTGCAGTAAAGCTGTCGGCGGAAGCAGACGTTGTAGTAAGTAAGGTCTCAGATATTACCATTACTATTGGAACAATCGAGTCCGCGGGTGGTGTCTGCCCAAAGGGTGTAAGTGCTGGGGTGTTAGCTGCCAAGAACTCATAGATTGTGTTCCTGAAGTTGGTCAAGGCGGTAGATGATCGCATGAAGGTATTCGGAAACTCTTCAATTAGGATTACCCTTCGGCCCTGATTTGATGTGTTGATCGTGGGCGCCAGTGCCGGCAGAGGTGAGTCGCCTTCCAGGTCCAGCTGTCCAAACTTCCGGCCTCTTCCCAAGAACTCTTCGAACTGCGAAGACGCAGACTGGTATCCCTGAGGAACACCGTATGAACTTGCTGGATTTCTCCATTCAAGAA